ATAAGAGTTTCTTCTGCAAAAGTTTGCAAAGCATACATGCGTGCTAGAAAGGAGCGAGTAAAAGTCAATCTTTGTGGCGTATTCAAGCGAATATCCGTCACCAATCTTAGTTCTTGTCGTTGAGCTCGAGAGAGAGAGGCAGAGAGAACCGCTAAGGGGGGAGGGAGGAGAGCTTGCAGTGCTACTCGGAATTCTAATGGAGATACTGCCGCCTGTTGCTTTCACGGCTTCGTAAACACCACCTTCTCAACGAACAAAACTCGAGCTTAAGTTTCTTTGAAGTTGCTCTACTTGGCGATTAACCTGTTGGCACTACTAATAAATTATGCAATTAAATTATCATCCGCGGTATAGAAAATCTCTGCCCCGTAAAGTATTCCTGAGTGAAATATTTCTGGCGTCGCATTCTGTTTCGCAAACGTGTTCCGGATTGCAGTCGAGCTTTACACGTACATCCGTCGTTTTTTGTGTAACGGCAGCGGCGGCGGTAACAGCAGCCGGAGTCGCACAGCCGGAGCAACGGCGGCGGCGGCAGTCGACTTTTTTCTGTCAACACTCGAAATATATACGTGCTTATTCAGGCACTGGGCTGAGTAACAGCGGGTGGTTAGCTTACTTGCAAATAGTACGTGCCATTATCTGACTCATTTTTTTCTCTTACCCTCCCTTCACCTCGAGGGCGCGCGTGACCTGTTGAACAGCCGGAAAAAGCTGCTGCTGATACTGCGCCAACCGAGAGAGAAAGAGAGAGAGAGAGGAAGAGGGTGAGTTGGACGATCTGCTTCAACCACGGAAGTTTTGGCAACATCTTTGTAACCTCCCTCTCTTGGTCTATGTAGTTTCACATCTGTGAAAAAAGAAAGAAAAAGAAATATTAGGTAAGGACGGTCGCATAAAAAAACTCTTAAAGTTACACGTGGGTCAGAAATGAGTTTGCTGATTCCGGAAAACGTACAAGTCGTCGCATCCAAGTTTCATCGGTTTTCTCGTTCCATTCAGTAGGATAGAAAATGAAATTTTAATTCAGTTGAAGTTTACATCGCTTTCTGAAATGTTTTCCATCTTACATTCGAGTTTCGTAGTTCGTCACGCAGTTACTGGCAATAACATAATTTCAATAGCGTTAATTAAAAAGAATTGCCGGCTGGCATCAAACTACTACGATCGTGTATAGCTCTCAAAAGATTACAAGCACAAAAAACCTTTGGAAAACAGAACATCTACTTTACTCGGAGCAAAGGAGGAAGGCAGGCAACAAAGTGCATGGCGGAAAAGAGGAGTTGATGGTGCTGCGATACGGCACGGCGCTACGACGCTAATCCTATTTCCATTGTTGACACAGTTCACTCGCTGAGATTAAGTCCCGGCGCGTTCGAGTGTGCGCGAATATAACGCATTCGCGCGCGTACGACGACGACGACGAGAAGAGGACCGTCACGGCCATCGTCGCACCATCGTCCTCGTCGTCCTCGCCGTCATCCCTGTCTCTAGATAATGACGATTACTCTCATTCTTTTGCTCTTTTCGCAACCGTCCTCCTTCTCTTTCTTTCAACCCCTCACTCTCCCTCGAGTTTTCTCGCTCTCTTTTTCTCTCTCCTTCTTTCTTTTTTGTGGAGACACGCGCTTTTCCCTCACTCGTTTTGCTCTCTCTCTCTCTTTTTTTAATGAACTCCCTGGAAAATGGAAGCACACAGCGTGGCTTTTTGTGTTTGCTAACCAGTGGATAATCCTCTCCAATGTTTAAGGTCATGTTTCCACGAGTTTTATATGATAAGCGCGTTTAACTGGTTTAGTTTTTTCGATATCGAACTCTCGACGGTGGTGGCATTGCACCCGATGCTGCTTCTACTGCTGCTGTGGGGGACTAAACTTTTACCAACGAATATTACTTCGTCGGCTAGCTTACCGTTTATATACGACCGAAACTTCTGCAATGAATATTGAAAGCAACGTTTATTGACTCACGTTTGTTTTTTATCCTCGATGCATGAATTTGGAATATATTGATGGATTTAAACCAATTTTTTTTACTTTAACTTGTCGAAAAAAGACGTTTTTTTGTCAAAGACACAAGGGAACTGTGCATTAAAGTATCAAATATTTTTTACATCGAGCTTTCAAAGCTTAGCAAAAATATTTGTTCAGTAAAGGAATCCATATGATACAATAGAAATTGAGACAAAGTCGTTAGATCAAACTTTGCGAGGTCTTCAGGTCCTATAACAATAGAAAAATACGTTTAAAGAGCACCGACGCATTTTCAAATAATTCAGCTCGCGTAGCTCTAAACTCGTAAAAATGCAGAGAGAGTAGGCACTACGAGGCATGCTCTGACACCCCTAAACCATCAGTTCTTTCACTCATGGAACCTGTATTTTCTCTTCCTCTCTTTCCCGCAGGAAAACGTGCAAAGCACTTCGTTGAGTCATGTAGAGCATCAGAGTTGACGTATATAATGTACGTGTGTATGTGCGCATACACTTTTCTCGCGCGTAACGCAGATTATTTTAATGCCTCTGCGCGTTTTTTTTCGCGTAGCCAGCGTAATCCTTGCTCCGAATTAATTTGCAAAACAGACTAAAATATGAAGGAGCAAATGCGAATTTTGCTAATGTATAATATATAACTCACATCACGATATGTCTATCAATAATTTCAACAAATAATTTAATGTCAGCTAGGAAATTAAATACTTAAACTTCTCGCTTTAGTAGATCGTAAAAATAAGAGACCGAATGGACATAAATAAAACTAGCCTCAGCGAAAGCTTTTTTTACGCGCAAACACGTTGCAAGAGTATAATACGTGCCGCTCGTAAGCGCACGCTCACATCTTTAAAAATCGCTCGCTCTCTCTTTCTCTCTTTCCCTCTCCTTCTCTCTCTCTCTCTCTCTTTCTCCCTCACTCTTTCGCGCACGCAGCCTTGGACGAAAGAGAGCTTGCAAGCTGGGTATTCTATTACAAAACTACCTGCTATAAATCTTCCGAACGCCTCGTGGGTCAGCCCCACCTTACACTTTAGTCTTGTTTTTTTCTTTTCTACCCTGAGGCAGTAGAAGCAGCAGCAGCAGCAGCAGCAGCAGCAACGGCAGCAGCGGCAACAAGCAGGATACGTGCAACACGCAGATATCTTCCAAAAGAACGTCGCGTGGCTTTTTTAATCCCCTGGAGGAGTCCTGAGTAGAAAACGTGACGGAGACAAACCTCGAGGGGAGGTGCCGTTGCCATTGCTGCTGGATGCGTCGGGTAGTACCGGGGCTGCGCTGAAAGAAAGATGAAATACCATCGCTCGCGTGCCAGGTAACAATGACCACTTTCGAGAATGTCCGCCTTCGTTCTAGAACGTCGTCGTCGTCGTCGTCGTCGTCGTTGTCCTTGTTGTTGTTGCCATCGTCGTCCTCTTTCCGCCGCTACAGCTGCCTTATGTACCGAGGAGAGGATGCCCCTTGAATATTGCTCAACCGTGACTGGGCTGCAAGATCGGTCTGCCATTGTTGCAGCATTGATCCCGCGATTCAAACTCTCCTGTGATTTATGGTCTCGTAATGTTCCATGGATTGATCGAACTGCGATTTGCTTTGTGAATCAGTCTGAAAAGCCATCAAACAGCCTCCCCCGCACACTAGCTTTTTTTCAAATCGGTGTCATCATTTATTTAACTATTTAGAATGGTAAAATGATCAAAATATCACGCCCGTGTGCCACACGTACGTTCGGTGCTTTGATGGAAAATTTGGGTTGGCTCGTTGCAATTTATCAAGAAGCCCCGCGCGTGTCTGTATATGGAGAGCGGAAGCGATGCCGCCGCTAGTATTGCTTCGTTTGTTTCAGCGAGCTCTTCCCAATCGTTCAAAACAATGGCGGCCAATCAAAAGGCGAGCTTTTCGATGCTACTGTTACTGCTGCTGTTCCTCGCTCCCTACTTTAACTGCTCTAGTGTTTGTTTTTTCGACTAAAGCACACAGTGGAAGAACACATAGCATGTATAAGATTCAACTTTTTTGACACTATACTTTCAACTACGCAGAGTATTTACTTCTACGATATCTCTATGACGGTGCCTCTATCTCTTTTACGGTACAAAATTGTCAATTGTATCGTGGATTAAAATTTGTCACTTTTGAATGAAATCATTTTGATTAAATGATATAAATCGAATAATACTTCAAAGCTGTAAGTTAAAAAAATTAAATAGTACCGTATTACCGACTTATTTGTATATTATTGTCACACGATCTAAAGGAAAATGAAAGAAAACTTAAAGTTCGAGTGGCGCAGTGGAGTATGTATGCAAGTTTCGAAGGGAATCCCTGTACGCGGAAGCGAGCTTCGGAGGCAAAAAAGGAAGAAGGTAGAAATGTGCGCTCGCGAGTCGAGAAGATTGAGCTGTGATTGAAAACTCAGCCTCGGGCGATGTACTAGTATATATATACTAGTATACTTCTTTAACTACTGCATCTAGTACCTCTGCTGTATACTACTTGTACTACTTGTACTATTATCACCGCTGCACGCAAGCAGTTTGATTTAAATATACCCAGAGCTAGATTTATACTACTTGCTCATCTTCAATTTTTACTTCTTTCTTTGCAGTATCGTCTATTCTTACGCGTAGTTGCATTGATGCGTGTATTTTTGATGTACCTGTATGCTCGCGCGTATGTATAAAAATTTTTCTCGTCTATATGTGCACAAGCACTCGCGTTCATTATTTTTTCAACAGCGATTTGCTTTTTGGAAAATTGGTCGATGCGTAACCAACTATTCGTATACCTATTCAACTTGTGAAAAAGTTCACTCAGATTCATCTTTGGAACGATTTAAAACATTAATTATATCGAATAAATCACTGAGGTATTATTTGAGTTGAAAAATATCGATTAAAATTCAAGAATTTAACGTAAATTTAGTAGTATCATATCTTAGCTTTAAAAAATATTGAAATTTATCTCATGCTTATGATACAAAATGAAACTAATTATTAATTTATGTTTTTAGGCGAAGCTTGACAAAAGTCAAAGTGGCAAGCCTTCTCGTGTGATACATATTAGGAATATTCCTAATGAAGTGACGGACGCAGAGATCATTCATCTGGGTATGCCATTTGGGCGTGTCACCAATGTTCTTGTCCTCAAAGGCAAGAATCAGGTACGTGATCTTTTTTCTCCATTGAACTTTTTACAAATGAATATTTTCAAATTAACAAAAAGCATACTTCAATGACACGGAGGTGTATCAACTATTCGTCATATGATAGCGCAACGAATATCTCTATGCGTTTTTTCTCTTTTTGCGAAAATTGCAGAGTTTAACGTTACAAAAAGAAGCTCCGGGAACGGAGCGATAAAAAAAGCGGTGGAATTTCGTTGCGCTAGCTCTATGTTCAAATTTCGATCGAAACTGACGCGTGCGCGCGCGCTGAACAAAAAGAGTTGGAATATAGCGCACACAAGCCAGTGAAATAGAAATACGCACGCAAAACGCGAGCCAAACGCCCAGCGAAAGTACTACTGTGTGTCTCCATCGCCCTCTCGTCGTGTTCTCTCTCACTCTAGAAATCAGAAGGCACGAGTGTCTCGCGCGAAACAATCAAATATCGACGATCGCCGTTTACCTATTATCCGGAAAACAAAGGCTGCGACTCGCTGCTCCACTGTGCCCCCAGTCGATCGCTACACTTCGTATATCGTGTACTTTACTCCTTTGTGAAGTTTGCATGGCCAACTTCGAGCCATAAGTGAAACTCTAATCGGTTTGCGTAATCAAACTACCCCCGCTTAAATGTAGGTTCCGTTTCTAAATAACCATGCAGATCGTGGAAACAACTTTTGGCCGATGATGCGAGGTAGATTTTCCCACGCGTGGACTAATTTTTGAAAATTTTGGTCATTCGCATTTCAAAATACCAACATTTTAATTTTTTTACAAAAAATTAAAGCAGCGTTTTTATTAGCCAAGTAGGGTTAGTCCATCACAGCGAGCATTAAGATGAGAATGTGGTTGTAGACTTGGTCCAACGCAACTGTAATCAAAGTAGTCCAAGTCCCATTCTAATTTAACGTTCTATTTTAATGAACCGACAGCCTGAATAATATAAACCCGAAACTGCACTGATAGCCGCAGTTGATAACAGTAGTTTAAATATCCCCCACTTTCTTCAAAATCGTTTTTAACACAGATGCATCGGGTTATTTTATAAAAGATATAGCAAGTTATTACGGATTTTGAACCGAAATTAGAATTTACGAGTTTGACTTTTGGAAAAAATGAAAATTAGCAAGCTTAGGAGCTGTACTCGGCTAAGCTAACTATATCAATGAACAATACCTGGCTACATGGCGAAACGAGCTCAAGTAAATGTACACGTGCACGCATACATTTTCGTGGTGAGCCTTCAAACATCGTGCAAAGAGCCGATGGCAATGCGTTTGTTAAGTCGACCACGAGTGTAGCATAGCAGCAGCAGCAGCAGCAGTAGTAGTACCAGTAGTAGCACTGGCAACAGCAGAGCTCGCGTATAAGCCCAGTCGCGATTTGCGGTTACTAAATAGCGCATAGGCGTATCGGTCAGAGATGGCAAGGATTAAAATAACGCTACACTCTCTGCAGCAAATCACACATTAACCGATGCAAATAGGCCCCTCCAAAAGTCATATACGCATATTGTATGCTTGTGTATGTGCAGCTCGGCGCATATACAGATATGGATGAATGCTCTGTACTGCGAATGCGTATACTTGTATCGATCCGCGTATATGAAAGTTCAGCCTTGCGTGAGCGTCACTCTATCTCACCAGGGGGGATGATAAATAATTATCATTTGAAGTCTCGATCGTTATCGTTTGGCCTGGAAAGACCTCATTACCTAGCGATGAGCCCCGTTTTGTTTGTGTGAGGGTGTGTGTGTATTGTGCGCTCGTTGCAATGTGATTTGCTGCAAGTACTCGCGAGCTTTTTGAGCGCGTCCAAAGGGTGATCAAGCGTAAACGCGCGCGAGCTTTAATACCTTGTCGCGTTGAATGTGGAATTTTGTAATTGTTGTGAATGACGTGCTGCTTGTAAATTACTATACGCGAGAGACGGAAAGATATGTAATATGCAACTATACAGAATTCAAAGAATATTCTCGCCGCCTTTTTACCATTGCAGATCGATTTTTCAATATTTCAACTTTTGATTAAATTGCCAATTATCGCCATTACTTCAATGAAGAATTTTACTTCGATTAATCTTTTGCCCTTCTTTCTGACATATAAAAATTTCAATTTAAATTATAGACATATTTGCTATAATTAATGTTTCATTACGCAAAATAATGTGATAATGGTGCTCCGAGCACTGTTGATCGCTGCTATACTGCTATAGGCAATGAAAAGCGAGAACGTGATCCAAACCCTGCCCTTTGTTACTGCAGTACTCGCGATACTATTTGAAGTTTCCTTGTAAGCGTGATACGCAGCAAGAACTAAACTATTCTGACTCCGCAGACTACCCACTTCGCTTCTTTGTACACGGTACAAAATTTGCAAGGTGGTTGTAAGCTACTTCTCTCTTTATCTCTCTCACTCTCTCTTTGGCTCACTCGTACGTACCCGCGTACATAGACATTTACTCACACAACTGATATCTGTGGTCCACTAACTAAGTTACCGGAAACTTGGCGAATCAAAGTAAATACTCGTACGAGGAGGACTGGATGCCCGCGAGGCACAGTGGGACCATTTTAACCAAATGCAATATTCTATTTACAGTTTCAATCCAGTCAAATCGACAATTCAACAACTTGAAAAGATCATTCAGTAAGATTTTATTCGAAATCTTATATGGCTCTCAACAATCTAGGATGCAAAATATTTGCTGACTGTTTACGAGAAGCAGTTATTGTGTATTAAACAGACGTAGCGTACTAAAATGAAAAAGACAAAAGTAGCTGCAGGCGTTTCGTTGAGTTATGCAAGTGTCATCTTGCCAAGCATACACATCATGTAAATAAACGTAGGGTCGCGAGAATAATGGGTTCGAAAATCGCGTCCAAGCAGGTCTTGGTGAAAAACTATTATTAAGATTGCTACCCGCGGGCCTGCACCGGCTTGCAGTTGCAACGTGTTGAACGATTCGATCCGTGGGAATTTTTCAACGATCTTTCCCAGCCAGCGCGCGTTTAATACACTTGCGATGTTCTACTAATCGAATGTAAGAAGTGAATTTTGTCAAAGTTACTATGTGAGTAGTGAAACAAAATAACGGAGGTGGCACCTCGTATTATTATTAGGACTGTAAGCGAGGAGCGGAAAAACAAGCCAGATATTTGCAAAAAAAAGAAAGAAAAAAATAATAATACACATTGCTGCGGAGAGGTACTCGCTTAAAACGTCATTCTCGCTTTACGCATCTTTGATTCCGCGGCTGCGTTATTATTTGCGTTCTTGTGTGAATGCAAACAATTTACGCTCACTGCGCGCATTCCCCTCTCGGTTATACAGCATGAATGTGCGACTTGTGCTGCTACTGCTACTGCTGCTGCCGCTGCTACTGCTGCAATGTACTGGGCTTGGTGATACATTTTAAGTAGTACGAGCTGAGATACGTCGGACGGTGCACTGCACGACATACACAATGCCGCGTGTGGTTGTATTAATAGCCAGAACAATGCGCATGTTTTTTCCATTATTGTTCTCTAAAGAGCTGCGCAGTGTTGTCCCATATGCTCTCTTTTATTAGTACTGAAAAAAGAAGGTCTGAAAACTGTACTGGTTCATGAAAAATCGTATTTACTCGTTCCAAAAGTATTCAATTCCAATTCAGCTGCGAGCTCATTAGAATGGATTAGTTGCAAAGTCTGATTGACTTCGAAATCGCTAATTGGCAGTCGGCTTATTACATAGAGTAAATATCGGAATAATCGAATTTTCTGACGAACCACCGAGTGGGTCTAGGTAAAATTCATAACAAGCACTTGAGGTAGCGCATGGCAAAAGAAATACACGAAATGCCAGACTGCCAGCAGCGATAAATGTACTTTGGGGCGAGATGGGTATGAACTTTTCGAATGAAAGTTTTGCTTGGGAGGGAAACTATTTACCGAAATGAGTATCATTAACTAGGGGGCATAGCCGTGCGCCGTCAACTTAGAGAGAGTATAGTCGAGTGCAAGATTAAAACCATTCAGCGACTGCCGTTGAATGCGTTATAATTTAAAGTGACGAAAGTATATACACCGTGTGACGAAAAAAAAGTTCACTCGAAAGATAAATGTCGCGAGCTGTGTCTGCTGTGCGCGCGCGCGTGTGGATGTGAACTCCTGAGACTCTATACATTCGAATCGAAATGCAACAATCACGCCAGTGCTCCTAATAAAGTTTTCGCCATGGAATTCCGTGTATATAATACGCGCGTATGTATATCAAAACGCGCGAGCGCACCAGTTCACTGTTACTGTGCTTTTGCCGCCAAGTCTAACTTTAATTGAATTTAAATTGAATTTAAAATATTAATATTACCAACATGTAAAGCCGGTATTTCGTCTCTTTCTTACCATCCCATGCAGCGCTGCAGGAGTGCGATGCATTAGACGTACAGAGAGAAAGCAAAACGTACACTAACCCAGCCCGGCGCGCTCTGACTCGCAAGCTTTGTACGCAAGCAGTCAGTTCAGACTATCCAAGTCGCATCGCCTTCGGCTTTATAACTTTCTCCATCCTACTTTGTTAAATATAGCTTTAATTTTTGCTTTGAATTTTTTCTCTCTAAAAAATTGTTTCGGGCTAAATTACTTCGGTTGCGAGAGGCAAAACGGAATAACAATAGAGGAGAACCTTTTAACTGAGTTAATCAATTAGCTTTTGAGATTCGATTGTTCGTTCGTAAGCCAACGGAAAATTCTTTTTCCAACTAGTAATAATATTTAATTACTGCAATTGTTGATAGTTACGAGTTTGGTCCAGCACGACGATGATACCGTACATACTATAAGATTCGTCGTATACAGTGGGATTAATTACGATAATTTCATTGATTCGTCAAACAAAGTAGAAAACTGTGGACTACGTAAATGATATTACTTGTTATAAAAGTTCATAAAGAGCGGCGAAATGTTATTTTTCCTATTAAAGAAAAATTAATTGCGCGTAATTAGTCTTTTCATATAC